GAAGGAAGGAAGGGCTAAACAAAAAGTTTGTTCTCCTTTATCCCTGGTGTCGAGGAGGCTCTTTCCTATAACACACCTGTGAGATGACATCCAGAAGGTCCCCATAGATATGGCTCTCATATTGCACCTCTTCCCAACCACTGGGTTTCTCTGTTCCTGGCTTCTTTCCCTGCTGCTCCTATTCCTAAAGCCTTAGGGAGGAAGGTATGAAGTGAACCTCCTGACTGGCTGGACCTACAAATGTCTTTCCTCATCAGAACCAATTGAATGCCCACTTTTTGCCATCTAGGTGTCTTCTGAAAGACCGTCAATCACATTCATTTACAGGTTTGCCTTCACACTTAGTCATCAAGACCAGTAATCAGAAACTAACATCATGGAGACCCAAGTCTCACCATCAATCATTGCCATTTAGAAAGGATCCTTAGCACATGCAGAAACCATATCCTGGCTTGTGTCACTCACTGACTAGAGCACAAAGTCACCCAACAGTGAAGCCCACATTCACAGAGCATTCTACTGCTTTCAAACTCCTCCCTACCCACCTGGTAGAAGGAGGCTGGCACGGGATGCCTATGTGTGTGTGTGGGGGGGTGGCACAGAGGGACACACACAACTTCACCCATATATTCAAGTTTAGAGGATTATTTCTAAAGCACAGTAGGGGCTGCAGCTCAATTAGTAGAGTTATTGGCTAGCATGCAGGAGGCCTTGGGCTGGCTTCTCCACATGAACCAGGTGAGATGGCACATGTCTGTAATTTTAGAACCCAGGAGGTGAGGCAGGAGGATGGGGAATTCAAGGTGATCCTTCATTACATAACAAGTTCAAGGTCATCATTAGGCTAGATCAGACCCAGTCTCAATTTTTTTTAATGAATCATAAATAAACAAGCATAAAGGCACCTTGTTCTCAGTCAACTCATGTCTGAACTCAGCATTCAATCTGACAGCAGAAATCATGGAAGTTGACATTTAATTTTTTGAAAGAGAACCATTAACACCTTTCACTGTCATGGAAGCCTCTGGCTGTAGAAGGTGATGTCTGCTGGCTGCCCATCCACTGTGCAGGAAAGATAAACACCAACCTCCCCATATGTCATGCAATACCTGGCAAGAATCCATAGCTTAGGGTCTAATTACCTTTGGGAAACAAGCTAAGCTATACCCAGGGCGAGGTGAAGATCATTTTCTGCTGCCTCAGAAAGTCATAATTAATTTTGAAGCAATTTAAAAGAGTGCTAAAATATTGCTTGAGAGGGGTAGAAGGCAACTTGAGGGTTTGTGTTTGAGTCAAAGGTTATAATTACACCTGTAATTGCTGTAGGCTGCCAAGCAGAGAAGACACTCCTGAACCTCTTCCTCCTGTCACTGGGTGAAAAGAGCTCTGAGGTCTAAAGAAGTGGTGAATTTCCAGGGTCAGTTACCCTCCCCACTCCGGAAATGCTCATCCTTTTACAGCCTCATGCCACAGGCAAGGCATGCAGCTCAGTTGGTAGAATGCTTGCCTAACACGAACCAGACCCTGGGTTTAGGCCCCGGCTCTGCCTACCTAAATGAAGTGGCACGGCACACACTTGCAATTGTAGCACTTACAAGGCAGAGGTTGGAGGATCAGGAGTTCAAAGGTCACCCTCAACTGTGAGTTAGATGCCAGTCTAACATGAAGAGTCAGAGGTTCATCCAAACCAAACCAAACCAAAACAAAACAAAACTATCTCAACCAAAACAAAAATTAAAAAAAATAAAGAGATTGGTGCTAATTGAAATTGACAAATGTCTCTCAACGCTGGGTTGACAGAAGATAGCAAGAGGAAAAGAAGCGTGATCACTTATTCTGTCACAGTGGTGGGCTTTGTGATGGAATTGGGGTGCTGGTTCTCACCCAAGGGACTCTCTGACGTACAGGAAAAAAGCAAAACCAGAAATTCAACACCTTCACCAAGTATCTCAAGCCCCAGGTATATGGGAGCACCCTGGCAGGTGCATGCTGACAGAAGCAAGGGGTAGGCAGGGGTGGGGGTCCCTGGAAGGCAAGTGATGAGGGAAGCACATTCCCAGTTAGGGGGCACATTTCCAGCAAGGGAGCACATTCTCAGTAAGGGGAGCACTACATTCTTCACAAATAGCTCTTTGGGCTCAAGAGAGCACAAGGACAAGAAGAGTGGGGTAGATGGAGTAACAGGGCAGGTACGTTGCTTAAAACACCTGTGAGTTCCTTTTAGATCAAAATTTATTTTTAATTACTTGCCTGTGTCTGTCTGTGTGTGGGTATGTGCACATGCATGCAGGTGCCATTTACGCCCAGGAGTATCAGATTGCCTTGGAGCTGGAGTAACAGACAGTGTGGGTTCTGGGAACTGAAGCTGTGTCCTCAGTAAGAGCAGTAAGTGTTCTTAAGCATGGGTCTACCTCTCTAGCCCCACCCTACCCCCATGAGGGATTTTCATTAGAAGTGGGAAAAAGATAGATTTGCCAAAGAGGGAAAGATGGCTCTGTGCTTCATTTACTTTTCTACTGACCTAGCTTTCTCTCCAGGCTGTAAGACAACCTGACATAGAGACCAATAACATGAAAGAACTTTGAAAAGCCACCTTCTCTCATGTAGCCCACTGCTAAAACGTTGGGCTTCAAAGACTGAGTCATCACTTGCTGTCAATTGCTGTGAGCTACAAAACAGGTGAGGAGTGCAAGCAGTCTTCCCAGCTTGACATGGAAGATGCAGCCAGCAATGCAGAAGGGAGAGCATGTCTTCACAGAAGAAGACTCACCCCTCAGGCTGTGTGCCACATGAAATATCACCTACCCAGGGGATGCTGGGTTACAGCAGAGAAAAAAAAAATCTCCCCCTGACAAAGAAGAGCCTGTATCTTGGAGTTAATTTAAGGCTTTCCTGATTTCTCTCTTAATAAGGATAATAATTTCCAAATAATGAGAGTTATTAAGTGGCTGTGAGTAGCACTCCCCCAAATATCTTGGGACTGCAGAGTAACTGGCCCCTCCAGGGTTTGTTGAGGGATGGTGAGGCAGTGTCTCCACTGTGAGGAGCCATAGTCCTTCCTCCTTATGCCAGCAAGGTGCAGCGACTGCCTTGGCTCTAACAGAGACCTCTTCTACATGCTGAATGCTTGCTCTCAGAGTAAGTTCTTTCCAACTGTCAGACAGGCAAACAATGACACCTGTCATGTTCTCCATAGTGATGGCCATGGGTTCTCACCAAATTTATTACCAACCCAGTCTTTGAAACAAGAGTAGTTGCCACCTAAAGTGTGCAATCCTACTGTGAAAGGAGCACATGGAAGCTTTACTGGACAGTAATACATGCTATTCATAGGGGGAAGGCCACAGTGCTTAGAAGCCATGGGTATGTCTTAATAATAAGTCTTGGGTTCCCCAAGGTAGGCACTGGGGCCAGAGGACATAATGGAGTTCTATAAGATATGATAAGGACTAGTCAAATCCAGCAATCATATTTTTTAAAAACCACATTGTCCACTGATACAAAAGCTTGATTTCAGCCTCCATGCTGGAACAAATTAATAATCCCAGCTCCTGTGAGGTAGAAACAGGAGGACCAGAAATTCAAGGCCATCCTTAACTGCACAGGGAGAAGAAAGCCAACAGACTATACATGAGCAATTATCTCAAAACAAAATCTGATTTTATACTTGTGGGAAAGAACTCTTTAGGCCAGACAGCCTCTGGACCAGCTGAGAGGTCTCTAAGAATATAGCATTCATATTCAAAGGTCCCAGGCAGGGAGTCTTTGACAGATCTGCCTTGAACCTCATCCTCTGTGTCTCAGCCCTGACCCAGGAAGCAGGAAGCAGGAAGAGGAAGCAGGAAGCTATCCACAGAAAAGTACATGATGTCCTGAAGATGTCACCCATGGGTTCCTGAACCTATGTGTGGACAGGGAGTGGGAACCCCCAGGAAGCTTAGGTCTAGATCATGAGAGCAGGAAGTAGGCTACTACTAGCCAGACCATGTGGTCCACACTGGGAGGAGAACGTGGCCTGCTTTCCCATAGCAGGGCTAGACACCTGCTCCTCTGTGGTGAGTAGGGCTTATATGGTACCATTGGTTGGCATGGAAATGTGGATGTTCTGACCTTCTCTTTTTGTCTGTACACAGGAACACAATTCTTTTCTTTCAAAATTACCCTTTCTGTCAATACAGCCCAAACTATGAAGGAAGCACAGAGAATTACTACAGGAGGACTTAGCCTGACCAGAGGAGACCAGACTGGTCCTGTCTGGCATGGAGGATACAACAGAGTAGCAGTCAGAGCCTGGAGTCTCGGACTGAACATTCGTAGTCTACAGGCAGTTAAAGCGAAAACAACCCAACAGAACCAAGCAGCAAGCTTCTTCCAAATATGGTGCTTATGGTATCCAGTTCACTGGTGACATCAGTGTAGGCCTATCTACCAAGGCCCTTGTTCCTCACATGTCATAGGCAGCCACTAGTGTGCCTTTTGAGGAAACTAAACACCTGAGAAGTGTCTTCCAGCAAAAGCTCTGATGCATTGTGAATTTAAATCTACTCTCTGTTTAATCTGAAACAGTCCTTGCAGTTGAGCTCACTTGGTACACAGATGTGTTTGTGTTTACTCAAGCCACTGCCAGCTTGGAACGCCAGTTCAATAAAGAGTGACATCAGGATGCCCGTCCAGAGTAACTGGAGGCCTTGCAGAAACTCCTCAGAGTTTTGTCATGGTGGCTCACGCTGGAGACACTTTCTCTTTCTTCTCATACATATCTGATCTTATACCGGCAGCCCTTTCCACATTGCCAAGTCTGAGTTATCTCTGAGATCTGCACGTGTCTTACCTGTTTCTTACATGGGCTCCCATGTCTGCTAGCATTCAGGCTCTCAGTGGAGCCACAAGACAGTGTCCACCAGGCCACGGGGAAACAGAAGTGTCAGCTTCCTCATCCCATGCTACATGTGGTCCTGATTGGTCACAGAGCTGCCTGAACGCATGGATGCTGTACTCACCCTGCAGGGACCGGTTCTTGTATAGGTCCCGGGCCTTCGCTGGGTGAGCTCTGGCTGTGTTGTCACACTTGGGCTGCTCATACCTAGGAGCCAAGGGGTAAGAGAGAAAAGAGTGGGAATGAGACCCTGAGTTGGAGTCGTTTCCAGTTTCTCACATCTAACATGTTATGTACAGCTTTAGCCCCAGAATGTTCCACGAGATCCATCCTAGTATCACAGTCCTGTGGTTTAGCTCCTGGGTGGCTTAAGTGAACATTTCTGGATCAACTTACATGCACACACCATAGGACAAAGAGGCCTACAGCTCACCTCACATGGCCAGGCGTTTACCCTTAATCAAGTTCCAGTAGAGTCTTGTCTACTGGTTCCTGAACACCCACCTAACCCATCTTCTGCTTTGTGATTTTATGAAAAGCAGATGTCCTGCTCAGCAGTCTCCTGGAGGGATTTCAAATGCACAGGAGTAAGGATTGTGAGCCTGCATGGGGCAAGGGTTCGGCCACTTGACTATCTTCAGAAAGGAGCCAGAATCAGAACTCAGGGCCCACAGGGATCTACCACTGAAAGACTGGCTAATTCTCAATACAACCCATGGAGCTCCAAAAATTTGTCCAAATGCTTAAGAAGAAAATGGAAGGAAGGAAAGAAGGTGTTATAGGTTCTATCTGTTCTTAGAATGGCTCAGGTCTGCCCATGCCTTCTACCTGGAGGTACTTGTTTCTTCAATGTTTCTGGTCCAAACCCAGATGAACCTCTCTGATAGTGCTCAACAGCTCCTTGAAACTGCCCTTGACCCAGGCCTTTGTGAGTGCTGGAGTAGCATAGAATCCTGTACCTGAGATCACCAACTTCCTCCTTCTGTACCATATACTACTATGGTAGTTTGAATATAATTGGCCCCCATAAGCTCACAGGAAGTGATTCTATTGGGAGATGTGGTTTTGTTGGAGTAGGTGTGTCCTTGTTGGAGGAAGTGTGCCATTGTGGCGCTGGGCTTTGAGGTCTCCTATGCTCAAGCTATGCCCAGTGAAGCAGTTCACTTCCTTTTACCTGCAGTTCTAGATGTAGAGATCTCAGCTCCTTCTCCAGCAACACATCTGCCATCTTGCCATGATGATAATGGACTGAACCTCTGAAACTGTAAGCCAGCCCCAATTAAATGTTTTCCTTTATAAGAGTTGCCATGGTTATGGTGTCTCTTCACAGCAATAGAAACCCTAACTAAGATAACCACACTCTCAATGTGCAGTCAGGGAAGGGGTTGCTTGGACAAAGGAGGGCTGGTGAGGTCTATCCCAGTGAGGTGGAGTGGACAGCTGGAAAGGCACACACACACACACACACAAAAAAAAAAAAAAAAAAAAAAAATTTTTTTTTTTTGGTTTTTCGAGACAGGGTTTCTCTGTGTAGCTTTGGAGCCTATCCTGGCACTTGCTCTGGAGCCCAGGCTGGCCTGGAACTCACAGAGATCCACCTGCCTCTGCCTCACGAGTGCTAGGATTAAAGGTGTGTACCACCAATGCCCGGCCACAATTTTTTTAGAGAGTTTAAGGTACCTTTGGCTATGTAGTGGCTTTAAGGCTAGCCTTGATTACATAGGAATTTAATCTCACAAACCAAAAACAATAAGATATGCTATGGTATGAATAATACAAGATAAATAACTTCTGATGGGACATCAGACCCAAGCAGTAGTAGTGCAGCCCAGCTGTGACAAGACCAGGGCCACTGTACCATTGCCTTCCTCCCCTGAACAGCAGCTTTGACACAAGAGAAACCAATGCCCTCTTCACACAAATGTGACATCTTCCCAGAATGTTGTTTCTAAAATTAGTGTCCCCGATGCACCCTGGCAAACAGCTGAAAGATCACTTCCTTCCGCAAAGCCACTGGAATACATTCTTTGAGAACATAGAGGCTCTGTGACAGGGCAGTGACAATGGGGTGGAGGGAAACCTGCTCAGTTGGCTTCTGCTGCCCAGGACCACATTGCATCAGACAGGAGCCAAAATGCATCTGAAGACAATGAGGAATGCAACTGGCTGATTCAGCAGTCATTAATCACTATTCCTGAGTGCCAATATATCTAGAGACAATAAATGCCCTGGGTAGCAGAGCTTCATCCCAGGTGCCAGGCAGTGCCTGAGGGTCAGGGGTAAGGTAGGACTTACAGTGCTACAGTGACCTGTGACCTGTAGAAAAGTGAGCATGTGTTCCAAGCCCAAAGTCCCATCCTATCTGAGGCACAGACTGTATTACAGTGTCAGAGAGCTGAGCTTGCTTTCCAGTGTTCATGTCATTCACACAGTCTGAGAGCTGGGCCATTTGTAGTTCCATTCCAATTCGTTTGATCTTTGCTCTCACTTGGGGCTTAGCTATCTCGGGGTCTTACAGTGGTACTGAAATTTGAAGAGCACATTTAAGTGACTGTGTTTTGCTCATTGGAAAGTGCACCAGGGAACGGCTTGCCAGTGTAGAAACGGTAATCTGGAGAGGGGCTCATGGGTTTACCAAAGCGAACTTGGCTGCAATAACCTTTGTTCTTTCAACAGCACTTACTTCACACAAGGGAAACAAAGAACACTGCCTGGCTATGTCTGCCCATCAGATACTAGGCTTGCAGCCATGGAGAAGAGCAATTTCACGACCACATGGCCACATGCACACAGCCACTGTGCAGAGCACTGGGGTCACAAACTGAGGCTGTCTCAAGGCCAGACTGCAGCACTAGGCAGGTGGACAAAGCCTGAGCCAGCACTCACAAAGGTGAAAAGGAAGCCTGTTCTGGCACTAATGGAGCGGCTGGCCGTCAGCCTGCACAAGGAATCCAATAGCCCCCTCCAAATCCCTGATACTATTGGCCAGCAGCCAGGTAGAAGTCTGCCCCTCCTCTAGCCTGAGTGCCACTAGGCCTGGCAGCAGAGCCTGTCAGGTGTGCCCTAACTCCATGCAGGGTCACACAAAATGTGGTCAGAATGCCAATCTTGACCACAAAAGGCAGGAGTATCTGCAAGAGCCACTACTCCCCTGACAGTCTGCTCTAGAGGGAAGGTCAGCTTTGCAAGGATGATGAGAGCACAGGGCTTGTGGCTTTGACTCAAGTCCACAACAGAAGCACCTTACTCCTGTGTGCTACTCAAGGACAGAGAGATGGCTGATAAGCTGCAAAGTGTTTGACATTTGTAGCTTCCTGGTTTCCAAGGTCAAGGTGTCCTTATGGGGAAGTACGAAAGAAGACAGGAAAAGTAAATACTGAGTGAGCTCTACCTAGGGCAAGTCCAAGCCAGCGCTTCCCAGGAGGCCTGATTCACTCTCCTGATGGGAATGTCCTTAAGTATGTATGTTTCTCTTATTGGTTGATGAATAAAACACTGTTTGGCCAGTAGAAGCAGGAAAATAGGCAGGACTAGGAGACTAGAGGAATTCTGAGAAAAGTAGGCAGAGGTAGACCTCGAGAGATGCCATGTAGACCACAAAGGAGTAACAGGTCTGGACCCTTCTCCGGGAAGACAAGACCATGTGGAAATACATCGATTAATAGAAAAGGGTTAATAGTTAAGACAGAGCTAGCCAATAAGAAGCCCTAGTCATCAGTCAACAATTTTTATAATTAATTTTATAATTAATATAGCATTTGTATGCTTATTTGGGGCTGAGGCAGCAGTGGGACCTGGAGAGACAATAAACTCCAGCAATACTCTTGTCTTGCCCAGTGTTGTGCAAAGGCTGCCTGGTGATTCTCTCCCTTCTGGTCAGTATTCTGGGCTTTGCCATGTGGCCTGAGTCCTGCTTGTCTCACTCCAGTATCATAATCTCAGGGGGCCTTACCCAGCTACTCTGTTTCTCCATGCCCCAAGTCCCTGTTCTTGCTAGTGCCCTTCAGATTTGTCATCATCAAAAACATTTCCTCATGTAGGCTTAGCCATGGACCCATTCTGTCACCACCACCCGCTGCTTCCCTCCAGAAGCCTTGGTGTTTGTCCTCTCCATTCAGTGAGTCCCCATCTTCCAGCACGATGACTGGAACACTGAGGACATTCAAATCATCCAAGTGTTTATGAAAGGAAAATGAAGGAAAGGAAGCCAGGATGTGTTCTCACCACCTCTGACCAACTGCAACAACAGAGGCCAGCACTGTCCATCAGAGCCGTTGTGGGATGTGTGAACCTGACTCTACTCTCTGTTGTCCCTGCTCCAGCTGAACCCTTTGCACCCCACATGTTACCTCTGCCCCACAGGCTCATCTTCCCCAGGACTTTGTACCCTCCCATGACTAGAAAGGCTGGCCAGCCAGTGACTAGCAAGGCTGCCCTGCCCCTGCCCACCTCTGAATTGCTCTCCGCCTTGGTGTCAACTTCTGTGTATAGGATGGTTGGATGCTGCAGGTGGCATCATCTTTTTTTCTCACAAAGCCGAGTTTATTAGACTGGAACCTGGCCCTGACCTGGTGCTCAATGGAAGAAGCATGGTAAATGACTCCCTTCTCTGGCTGGGCTGGTGACAGCCTAGGGATGAGACTGCAATTGAGCAAGTCTATCAGTTCAGTGGGAAAAGTTGCTCTTATTGTCAAGATGAAAAACTCCCTTGGGGCTGGAGAAAGATTAATAAGAGCATCAGCCGCTCTTGCAGAGGACAGGGGTTCAGTTCCCGACATCCACATGGCAGCCCACAACTGTCTATAACTCCAGTCCCAACAGATCTAACACCCTGTCCTGGCTTTTGTTTAGTGGATGGAAAAAAGGATAGTCCAGAGGAAGGACCACCATCTGAACAGCCCTTCCAGTTTGGTTCAGCTTGAGCCCTTTCCTGAACCTTCCATCGGGCAAACATGGACACAGGGATCTGAGGCTGTCATGTTTGCCTGAAACCCAGGGAACATTTGCACATAGGAAAGAGAGTGTCTGCCTTTCTACTCAGTCACAATCTAAACTGCTCTTGAGTTCTCCGGGGATAGCATTACAAATGCTGGTCTCATTGTTTCAGAGCCAGCTGGAGGAGTGCTGGTTTTTACTCTGCAAGGATTTTTGTTGGCCAACTCTAGGAAAACATCTGCCAGGGACGCTTCTCCTCCAGGCTCAAAGTGTGAGGTGAGGCCAAGGCTGCAGCTGACAGGAGCCCACTGGTGCCCCAAGTGATGCATAGTGAAGGAGCCAGAGGCTCAATATGCAGCAAGATCACCTCCAAGAAAGGCTGCTCAGCAAAACAGTAAGTTCATCCTTCTACCTACACACAAAACAACGAATTACCATATCCATATCTGGTAACAGTGGCGTTTTTAGATCAGCCACCCAAGAACTTGCTTCCAAACCTAAAGCTGTCCCAGGGCTCTTCATGGTCTTAGCTTGCTGGGCCAGTGAGAACACACACTGTCCTCCAATGTGGTGAGGGCAAGGTGGTGTTGACTGCCAGGATCATCTGTGATGTCATAACATTGTTACAATCTTCAAACCAGACCCCTAAGGAAGATGACCTCACTCAGGAGCTAGAAGGGGACCGGGATGGGCTGGACTTGTCTTGATGAAGCCATTGTCATTTCAGCTATTGTATTTTGCTTCTTTGAGGCCTATGGTGACCAGTGCCTCCCACTGAGAGCTAGCTTTAACACTTGAATAATTTAGGAAGCATTTTGGTGTTCATCTGGGCACTGGGGATAAAAATAGAGCACAAAGCTTGAACCTCTGATAGAAAAAACATTTGCACATTTAAAAGTCTAGGAAAAAAATTATCAAAGTCAAAGGGCACAAGGCTGCTAACAGGTCCCCACTGGGTACATGCACCCACTCAGGAACACCCTGCCCAGGTACATACGTACTATCTTCTGCTGGGACTCTGACAGAGCATAATTTTTGGCTCAAACTGACAGAAAACACAAGCAAATTATGAATAACTGATCTCTCTTGACTTACAGATTCGTCTCTTTAAATGACCATTTCTAGATACAAATATTACATTCTATTTGAAAGCTATTCAAGGCATTTGGCCTCCTTGGCTTCTTAAACATTTAACCTCTGTGTCTAAGGTCAGTAACCAAAAGGGTGTGTGTTTAGTCTTTTATGTGGCCCAAACGTTCTTTCTTAGAGCCACCCTTCTTTGTTTTGTGCTTGGTGGCCTTTGACTGCTAAAGATAGCTTCCCATCCCAGGGACGTAACTACTCTTCCTAATCAGCCCAAGCACAGGGAACAGAGAACAGAGTCCCTTTGTGATTGTCACACACAGAGTATGACACTGAATTTAAGAGGAAGTGAGCCCACAGTAGAAAGAACTTGGTGGCAGGGTGGCAGGAGGGGAGTGGTGTTCAGTTTCCCAGGTGCCATTTACCTTGTGGAGGTCCCGGGAATGGGCCGCCCAGTGTCCACCAGCACACACCAGCAGTAACCAGTGGATGGGTGGCACTGCACTGGCTTGTAGAGGCCTCCATGTGCACACTCGGGGATCACTACATTGTCATTCTTGGGTTGCTTGGCCTCCTCAAGAGCTGACTGGTGCTCCTGGTCACAGGAGGAAGCTGTAGGGAAAGAATAAACAGGCGGTGAGCAGGCATACAGAGCTAGCCTTGGTAACTGGTGCACAGTCGCAGCTAAAAGATGCTGTGTGCTGTCCCAGCACTGTAGTGGGAACCAGGCCTAAGGATAGACAAGAGGACCCCTCCTACCTCCTCATCCATTTTCTGTGAGGTGGGATGTTTTATGCAACAGGACAAGAACATGTGATTCTTTTCAGGTGGCCATACTGTGTGTCCCTAAGCCCACAAACGCTCCCTGAGAAACACTTGTTATTGTCTCCAGGTTTCCTTGAAGGAAACACCTGCTTCCCTGCAGGGAGCATGGACAGCAGTGCACAAAGTCATCTCTTCTCAGGCTAGAGACTCAGTTTCTTCTTTGTCTTTAGCTACCACTAGTTTACATCCAAGGGCATCTGACAAAAGACAAACTGGCATGTATGCGCACACACAAACACATACATACACACCTGCTTTCCCAATAGTCAAAATGGGACTTAAACCAATAAATGAAAAATAACAAATGACATAGAGTGGCCACCATACACTCACAGGACAGCAAGGAGAGGCTCCACTCAAGCTAAGTACACCACACACAAGAGAAAATCTCTACAACTTGGCAAGTGGGACATGATGACTGTGTCTAAGCCTGCTCTGGAGGCACCAGCTACTGTCACAAGAAGTTGGTGAATACTGTGATGTCAGGGGAAGAAGTGAGGAAGGTGATGGGGCACTGTGATGTCAGAGGAAGACATGAGGAAGCTGACGGGCAAGGGCTTCTGCCTCAGTGCTTCCCCAGCCACAGGTGGCAGGTGTGGAACAAAGGGCAGAGCCTAGCCCAGGTGATGCTCTTAGGACCAGAAGATTGCAGGCACCAACTGGACTAGGTTTTGTAAATGTAAGATTTCCTCATTGTTGCAGGGCTGAAAGAGTACTCAGGATTCACATGTGCATTAATGTCTCTAGATACACTAAACCAGAGAAAGCCACATACATATAGACGTTAGCTCTTTCGGTGATTCTGAGGCCAGTTCTGTACAAGCGCCTATGATCTGTTAACTGACTACATTACCAAACACAGTTTCTGGATGTCTAAATGCCACAGCATTGTGTGTCTCTGGGCACCTTACTGATAGCCTCCCTATGCTGCTCTTCAGAAGGACAACTGGATGGCAAAGAAGGAAGCTAAACAGCCCCCAAAACAGACAACTGTAAGATAAGCTCAGCATGTGGGGATCATTCAAGCTCACTAAACACAAAAGAGAAATGAAGAACTTGGCCTTGGCTGACACTTTGTACTGCTTCCCATACGGTCTTCACTTTCTGTGTACACTCTGGGTGCACCTAACAGATGTAGATACACAAATGAAATGTCCCTGAGCTTGATGGGGAGCTTGACGAAGCCTTTACCCATCTACCACCAGGAAGTTTTCAGGAAACAAAAGTCAACACTCACTGGCCTTTCTTCCCAAATCCCTTCAAGGCTCTGACAGCCATTCAAGGGGGCAAGTAACACAGGGGTTGAGGCAACTATCTTTGAAGACAATTGACACTCTCTGTGGAACCATTTGAACCTTTGTTGTGAGAGTAAATGGAATGGCCTATGGGAGCAGCAGCTGGGCTGTATGCGTAGCTTGGCAACATAGACCTCTTCAGTTTAGCTAAGGTTTGCTTGGCACTTCTTCAAATTTTCATTAGTTCATAGAATGTACAATGTGATTATCTGGCCACAAAAAATTTTTGGTGTTCCATTCCAAGGACATACTGTGTCTATGGGACGGGTAATGGAAAATTTTTGAAATGTCCCTATGAGAAATTTATGTCACATTTGAAAGAGCTTCATGAGCAAAGTGAAATTGAATTGAAAAAAAAAACACTAAATTTTGTTGCACATATTGTAAAATATCAAAACTACTCTGGCCGAGTCAGATGAAATCCTGCTTGTATGAATGTTAGGCTGCTGAAGATAATTGGAGCTGACAGCTGACAATCTGCTTGCACATTGGAAATTCAAGGCTACTAAAACATGCAATCATATTCTCTTGTAAGATAAGCCACCATGAAGGCAGAGGATGTTTTAATAAATGAGTAAGACCTTCATAAATAGAAGGCAAAGCAAGAAGGCAATGCATAATGTGGTCACCTCCCCTCCTGGCTCCTCCCAGGCCCTGACCCATGCAGAGATCTGCACAGGCCACTCTTGGAGTTCCTGCTACACTGTAAAATAAATTCAATGTTAAATGCAATGTTCATCACATTTACTTTAACCCACAGCTAATTAGACCTGGTAGGACTAATCCACTTCTATCTTTTTTATTTATTTCTAAGTTGGGTTTGAAGAAGAAATCAAGTAAAGATGATTTTCAGCATAAAAGCATTTTTTTACTGAATTAATCCTTCCAAAAATTTGACTCAGTAAAAAAAAAAAAATAAGGAAGATGAGAAAATCATGGAGAAAGTAGATTTACCTGGTCATGAGGCTTCGTGTGGTGTGTGTATGTGTGCGCATGCGTGCGCGTGCGTGCGTGCGTGCGTGCGTGCGTGCGTGCGTGCGTGCGTGTGTGTGTGTACATACGTGCACTGCGTATGTCCCCAAATCCACAAACCAAAACTAGGAAACAGGATCTTTGGGGGTGATTGGGTCACAGGGCAGAACCCAGAGCTGGTCTAGTCAGAGGGGATTCATCTGCCTCTTCCATCATGCGAAGACACCTGAAGAAGGTGTCACCTATAGATCAGAAAATTAGGTCTCCAGAAACATATGTATCTGTGAAGTTGAACTGCCTGTAGCATCCATGAAGCCTTATTACATCAGCCTGAGCTAGCAGACCTTCTTCACCACCTCAAGAAAAGGGGTGCCAGTAGAACCACACAAGTCCTGGGGAAGAGGATTCACTGTCCTGCAAAACTGGAGAGGTGTTGAGAACACTGCAGGCAAAGGTTACTAACCCTTTCAGAGGTTGTCAGGGTGCTGTTCCTCAAGGGCAGCCAATATTCTGACAAGACTGAGTTTATTTGTTTTCATTAAGGTGAACAACTTTATTGCTTAAATGCCAAAACTCTTAGAAAACTGGGAATCTGAAAAGCTTTGTAAGAAATGAAGGACATATTATTTAAATGTCCATAGCATTCCACGAGTGGTCCTGAGCAAGGCAACAGGGTAAAAACAAAATAATAATAAAGATTGTAATGAAAGAAATAAAAAAAAAAGTCTTTAAACACACACAACAGTATTGTACACATAAAATATCCTAAAACATCTATAAACTACTCATAAATGTACAAAAATCATTCATGTCTTATATACCATGAATAAATGATCACAAAATAAAGATAATTAAATGTCATTTGCCATAACATTAAAGCTAAAATACTTAGAAATAAATTCATAATGAGAGGTACAAGATATTTTTTAAATGCCATTACTGAAAAGGAACTTTTTTCTCTCAGTTTTTAAAATTGTTTTACATACCAACCACAGTTTCCCCTCCCTCCTCTCCTCCTGATCCCTCTCCTCCACCTTCCCCCACCCATCCACTCCTCCTCCATCTCCTCTCAGATGAAGTAAGGTCTCCCATGCGAATCAACAAAGCACTGCACATCAAGTTTCTTCCTGCCCCCTGCATCAAGGTTGAACAAAGCATAGGGAATTGGTTCCAAAGAGCCAGATCATGCATCAGGGACAGATCTTGGTCCCACTGAGGGCGGGGACCTTCTAACTAAATAAATGGAGAGAAGTACGGCATGTAAATGGGTAACAAGACTTAGGAGCTTTAGCAAGTCAATTTCTCTAAATTAATTACTGATATTATGTATTTCTTATCAAAATCTGAAGAAACTCTTCAGTAGAAGCTGATGTATGGACTCTAAAATGAATAAGGAAAGTCCAAAGATCTAAATGAAGCCTGGAGCATTGCTCCATGGTTAGGGGGCATGGAGAAGGATGAAGAGTCCACTAGCAACAGACTTGGAATGTTTACCTGACTGATGCTGACAAAGAGCCAGATCTGCTCACAGGGGAGTAAGACTTCTCCCACGAAATGACAGTAGAGCACCAGGATGACCGTGGACCAAGTAAAGAGAATAGACACACACTACACGTTAATTATGTGAGATGAGACAGACATGAATACAAAACCTGAGATGTAAAGACTAAAAATAGGCATTAGGAGTACCCCACCATGTCACTGCCCCCACCTTGTCTTTGGGACACACTGACCACTGAGGAAAAAACTGGGCAAATTAGATTTCATTAAATTTTAAAACAATCAACCCGAAGATGCAATTAAAAAGTAAAAGGCAACCACAGATTGGGGGAATGTTCCTAATACACACATCTGACAAAGACCCCCAGCTCTTTTCATCAATAAAACCACAAATAACCCAATCTAAAACTCACTGAGACTTCAGAAAGCAAGCCATCAACTAAGCAATGAACACTTAAAGAAAAAAGAGGGCAGCAGCATCGTTAGTCATCATGAAAACGGCAACTATAACATCACTGAGATGTCACACCCATGCATGCTCCAAATCAAAAACACTGACACGAAATGTTGGTGGGACATGTAGGTCCTGGAGCCCTCATGGTCTCCTCATGGCAGATCCAGTGTTGAGACCACTATCCCATCCTGGACACCCATGAAGGAGAAATTAAAGCGCAAGTTCATGAAACCGCCAAGGAAAGAATGGACACAGGATCGTCTCAAAGGGCCCAGCCTGACTTTTAAAATTGCTTACATGTGAATTGAAAAAAATGCACAGATAAAGTATTATATATTGTATGAAATTATATAAAGTTGTATGTATATATCAGAGAGAGAATACACACACATATATATACATATATGTACATATATATATGTATATATATATATCAGTACTGACTCTCAAAACAACTGTACTAATTTCATAAACAACACCTCAGAACTGAAAGAACACTCTTTACATTGACGTGCAAGAAAGTCTACACCAGTGAAGAGTCGTGGTAGCTGAGCTCAGAGCAGTAG